ATATATTTATATATATGTATATATGAAAAATATATCAAAAATGCATGTGGGTACTCAAATGAAAGCTCGTTATGATTGTAATATCGGGATGAGCGTAATATCTTTAAAACGTCAATAGTTAAGAAAGACAGTGCAATTTAACGTAATTAAGAAACGACCTTGTATCTTGTGAAATATTGACGTTTTTAAAGATATAAGCTCACCCCGACATTACACTCATCGAGGCCTTTAATTTGAGTACCCACATCAATTTTTCATATATTTTATATATTTATATATATTACATATATGTATATATAAAAAATGTATCAAAATGCATGTGAGTACTCTAATGAAAGCTCTTGATGAGTGTAATATCGAGATAAGCTTATATCTTTAAAAACGTCAATAGTTGAGGAAGTACAGTGCAATTTAACATAATTAAAAAACGACCTTGTGTCTTGTGAAATATTAAAATTTTTAAATATATAAGCTCACCCTGATGTTATACTCATTGAGACCTTTCATTTGAGTACCCACATCAATTTTTCATATATTTCATGTATTTATATATATGTAAATATGAAAAATATATGAAAAATCGATGTGGGTACTCGAATGAAAGCTCTTGATGAGTATAACATCGGGATGAGTTTATATCTTTAAAAACGTCAATATTTAAAAAAAGTACGGTGCAATTTAACAAAAATAATTATTTAAGCAAAATTTTATTTATTTATAATTGACAAATCATGGCAGTTAGATATAATTGTCTGCAAGTTTACTAGTTATTATTATCATTATTAATTTTAATTTTTTGGGAAAATTTTTTTTAATGTAACTTAAATTGACTGAGAAGAAAAACATGTTTGTTCTTTTGTTTTATTTTTTTTCAATTTTACATTTATAAAAATTTAATGAATAAGGTGATTAATTTTTATTTATTTTATTCTTAAAAATATACAGTTGCAAGAAGAAGAAGAAAAGAAGGAAGACCAAGAAGACAACGCACGACATTCAGTGGAGAACAAACAGCAAGACTAGAACTGGAGTATCATCGGGGTGAATACATATCACGAAGCAGAAGGTTCGAATTAGCTTCAGCGTTAAGACTCACTGAAACACAGATAAAAATATGGTTCCAAAATCGTCGCGCCAAGGACAAAAGAATCGAAAAGGCGCAGTTGGACCAACAATATCGGTAAAATACAATTAAAATAAATTGTTTTATAAATATTTGTGATATTAGTCACTACTTAGTAGATGGGTAACTCGAAAAATTCGAACGTCAAGTGTATATAGTAAAGCAAATAAAATTCAAACAAGGGTGCGCTGAAAAATATGTTTACAATAGTGTCCTTCACGCGTAAAATCCCACTTAAGGCTATTTAGCGGCGAATCGCACTCGAGAATCATTGATTCACTCTTATCTCCATTTAATATAATGTTTGTCACTCCCTACTTAGGGATCGTGTACTTCTAGGGAATCACGATCCAACGATCTCCAATCTGGCCCTTCAATGTTTATATAGTTGTTATCCTATATTGTACATCTTGATATTGTGTAGTATAGAATCTCATCAGACACCTGATTCAATGGTTACATTTATTAGAAAAAAGAAAATTATTTATAGGATAATTAAAAAGACGACGCTTGTTTACAAGTGCAATTTTTTATAAATAAAAATCATGGTCAGAAAAATTTATTTTAAAAATTTCATCTTCAAAGGCTCTAAAAAATTGTGTGTAATTCTTTATAAATAATTTTCTAGACCTAGTTTATTATTCAAAAAAAATCAATTGTTTAATTTCAATGTCATAAAATTATAAAAATTATTAATTTTTGTGTTGTATAATATATTTTATAAATAAAAAAATTTTACAACACTTAAAAATATAAAAATGATAAAATAATAAAAATTAGTGCCACGTTTACGTATTTTAGAAATCAATATTTGTTTTTTCTTTCGGCACATTGCGATCGCGACTAATATTAAATCGTGGCACACACAAAGCGTACAATTACAATGTTTAGACATTAATTAAATTCTTATTTTTATTTTTTTTTAAATACAGTAATTATTATTAATATTATTATTTGTTTAGTTACTTATTAGCTTGTTACTTATGATAATTAATATTTATGATTAATAATAACATACGGCGGCTTACAATCAGCCTGGATAATTAAAAAGACCACGTGTGTTTTTGTTTTAAATCTATCGTTATTATTTTGTCTTTTCTATTCCCTTTGCTATTCCTTTTGTTAATTGTAGGTGTAATTAAATTATTTATACATTACAATATGTGTGTAGATATGTCGTTAATTATTTAAAATTGGCTCTATTAATGATATCGGTGAATTATTTCCCGGTTAATTATTTATACCAAATGCCAATTATAAATTCGGTAACGGTCGTCCTTAAATGAATTTTTTTAATTAATTAATTAATTAATAAAAAATCAGTGATTTAGTAATCTAATCAAAATCAATAAATATTTTAAATAATGACTTTCCTAGCATATTTTCCTAATTAATTTTCTTCATGAATTTTTTGATTAAATATAATAAATTTACTTACTAGATTTTTCTAATTCATTTTCTCAATAAATACCCCTACTAGATTTTCTTCACCAATTTCCCTGATAAATTTCTCTTATTAAATTTTCCTAATTGATTTTTATTATAAACTTCCCTAGTATATTTTTCTAATTAATTTTCTTCATAAATTTTTCTGATTAATAACTTTAATAAATTTACCTAGTAGATTTTTCTAATTGATTTTCTTCAAAAATTCCCCTACTAGATTTTCCTAATAGATTTTTATTATAAACTTCCTCAATATATCTTTCTAATTAATTTTCTTCATCAACTTCTTTGATCAATTACCCTAATAAATTTACCTAGTAGATTTTTCTAATTGATATTTATCACTAATTTTCCTAATAAATTTCCCTTTTTAAATTTTTCTAACTGATTTTTATTATAACCTTCCCTAATATATCTTCCTAATTAATTTTCTTCATCAACTTCTTTGATCAATTACCCTAATAAATTTACCTAGTAGATTTTTATAATTGATTTTCTTTAAAAATTCCTCTACTAGATTTTCCTAGTTAATTTTCCTGATAGATTTTCTCCACTAATGTCCCTAATAAGTTTCGCTTATTAAATTTTCCTAATTGATTTTCATTATAACCTTCCTTAGTATATCTTCCTAATTAATTGTATTCATTCATTTTTCTAATTAATTTCCCTAATAAATTTACCTAGTAGATTTTTTAAATTGATTTTCTTTAAAAATTCCTCTACTAGATTTTCCTAGTAGATTTTCTTCACTAATGTCCCTAATAAATTTCGCTTATTAAACTTTCCTAATTAATTTTCATTATAACCTTCCCTAGTATATCTTCCTAATTAATTGTATTCATTAATTTTTCTGATTAATTTTCCTAGTAAATTTACCTAGTAGATTTTCCTAATAGATTTTCTTTATTAATTTGCGGATACTCTACCTTAATATGGACTTTACCTTAATATTAATTATTAAAAAGCCCTGTACCGATGTGTATCTTTCATTCGTTATAATTTTAGATATTTTAATTAATTCTTTTAAATTGCCCTTAACTACTCACTAATAAACCGATACCGATTCTAATCACAGGAATATTTATTGTTGATACACAATCATCTCACTAGATTCTTTCTCCTTAAAATAATTAATTTTTTAATTTTTTGGATTGTGTCAAATTAGTCTGATTTTCTAGGGGCGTAATTTTTTAAAATTTGACGGTAATATTATTTTTTTTTGTTAATTTTTGTATCACTGTTACGCTGCCTACAATAATTAAAAAATATTAATTCAATAATTCGTTTAATAATTTACAATGAATTAATTTTCAAATAATTTCCCTTAAACAATACTTAAATGTTACTTTTTCTTTTTTTTTCAACAGCATATATTCTTCCTTGAACACAAAAATTATAAAAAAGACTTGTAACAATTAATAATAATTATCATTAGATTAGATATATAAATAATAACGAAAGTAATAAATAACATAAGATAAATTATTTTAAGCAAATGATCAATAGATTAAAAAAAATGACAAGATAATGACTGGATTACATGCTAGGGTCGTCTACACAAGAAATCGACATGTGTTAGATGTTACTATTTCTCTAATGGGTACACAGAGTATCTTCCTCCTGCTATTATTATCCTCTAAATCTATCAAGGGTTGTTAATAGACTCATCCCCCAATTTCACCCTAACACAAAAACAACTCAAAACCTCGATGGTTATTTTTATTATGTCAATGATTTTTCTTTGTCTGACACGCTATTCATCCATTTACTTTGTAATTATAATTTTACTAATTATTTATTGTTTCAGAAACTTGGCGGTGTCCAATGCGCTAGCGAATTTTCCAGTTTACAGCAATTTTTGCGGGCTCTGCTTCTACAAGGATCCAAACCGCGAATTAACACCACACGTGTGTATTTCTTCTTATCGGCCAGATATCATGATTAAATCTTTGGAAGATAAAAACCAGCCATGCGGCAGCAGTAGCAGCAGTGAAATCTCAGAAAATCCTCCGATCGCCATTTCTCCAATTTAAAAATTAATTTAGTAAAGAATTTATTTTGTGAACTTACTTTTAAATGTTTCTTGCAGCCTCCAACACTTGAGATGATTGTTAAGCAATCATAGTTACAATGTAATTATTTAATTACAGATGAAAAATTATTATATGGAAATTAATCAGTCGATAAATAATAAGGAAAAAATTTTTACATCTAAAAATTGAAAAAAATTACAAGTGCAAATAATTTTTCAAAATGTAAAAATATATGTATAATACACCTTCATTTTATTATTAATTATAAGGTTAATTATAATGACACTAATTAATAAATAATAAAGTCTGAATATATAGATTTTTTTTACTTAATTTTATTAATAAATTGTACAATTTATTTTTTAACGAGTTTAATGATTTTATTGTCGCAATATTTAGGTACGAAAATATGAAGGATATTTTTTAGTTATGATCATTAGTCACCAACTTAAATACTAAAGTGTTTATAACTCATTAATGACTATGATTTTAATTAACAATATTTGTAGAATTTATTTATAACAATATCAAAATATTAAAAAATTAATTAAGGGATTCTGTCAATTTTTTCGAAGATTATAGCGAGTATAAATTTCACAGTTCTTATATTCCACAAGCTATTAACACAATGGATAATTAAATTAGTTTATAAAAATTAAAGAAGAAAATTGACACTTTTTAATACAATAGTAAAAATTAAGTGCAATTTTTAATATTTATTTTTTTTTTAAAGTAAGATTTGATTTTTGCGGATGTTTTTTCTATACGAATAAAAAAGTATTCTTATACTTCTGAATTCATATTTTTATTTTTATTCTAATCATAAATATGATTCAAGTTTTTTTTTAAGTGTCTATAATAATTTTTATTTTGAAACGATTAGAGAATAAAAAAATAATAATTTTAATAATTTATTTATTCAAAATTGTCTTGACAAGTGTAATTACATGAAAAAAAAAAAAAAAAAAAAAAAAAAAAAAAAAAAAAAAAAAAAAAAA